ATAACAGAATGAAAGGCTCAGTCGGACTTGAACTGGAAGTCAGAAAGCCCAGAGTGCTATGACCGTAAGCAAGGAGCCATTCCCCTTGCTGGACTGTCTCTAGTGCCCAGTTTGAGAATTTTCTCCTCACTGCAAAGGAAATGCCAGAAGGAGCACAGCCTTTGAGTGCCAGCCTACATCTAGTGAGCCCAACACACGATGCCAACATTAGGAGAGCCTGAGTCAGAACAAACACTTCAACCCTCAGGGAGAAACAGGAGCTTGTAGAGAGCAGGACAAGGCAGCCATCACTCGGTGGGAAGGTGGCCTTACCTTTCGGGGAGATGTTCCACCCACTTGAGGTGCCCACTGGAGAGATGATGCAGGGCAAGAGTAGTCTTCTTCAGGACTGCAATGTACCTCACTGATTCCTGCAGGCCTACCAGCCCAAGTGCCTGGAAACTGAGCACAGGTGCAGGGGTAAGCACTGCCTGGCACCTCCAGGGTCTCAGAGCAGAGCAATCTGGAACACCACCACTGTAGCTTGCTAGGTAAGAAAACAGGCCTTGGGGTCAAACGCATCAGGATCCTCATACCGGCTCCGCTTCTGGTGAGCTGACCTGGGAGGCTGCGCTTTCTACCACTCCGCTCTACTGCCTCCCTGAAGCCCCGTGAAGCCCCTCCTTACCCTAGGACTTCCCAGCGGGCAGGCTGTCCCTCCACCACGGCATCCTTCACCCCGTGCTGTCATTACAGCCTACATGCCTGCCTCCCCCAGCTGACCATGTGTTTCTTGATGACAGAAACCTTCTCATGGTCACATGTGGGTTCCCACTGCGTGGGGGCGCGCCAAGTGTTATAAATTACTATCAGAAGAGGTGTACCCCAGGGCGCCTGGGTGGCTCAGTTGGTTAAGCGACTGCCTTCGGCTCAGGTCATGATCCCGGAGTCCCAGGATCGAGTCCCGCATCGGGCTCCCTGCTCAGCGAGGAGCCTGCTTCTCCCTCTGACCCTCCCCCTCTCATGTACTCTCTCTCTCTCTCTCTCATTCTCGCTCTCTCAAATAAATAATCTTTAAAAAAAAAAAAAGGTGTACCCCATTGCAACGACCCTATAATTGAAACAACCCCAGCAAAGACGTAGCAGCAGCCCAAGCTGTTCTCTCAACATAAAAGTAAAACACTGAAAGGTTTATATTACACTCCTATACCTAGGACATTCAGAGTTCTCACGTCACGGTACGATTAGGAGCAGCATTCAAGGGCAAGGATAAATATTGCACCTAGCACAGAGCTCTGCACCTAACAGGTGCTCAATAAACACTGGCAGAGTAACCACGTGTTCCGTGGCCTCAGCATCAAAACGCGGGGTGTTTGATGTTCTTTGGCTCTTCAGTGGCCCGTGCAAAAAAAATGTCAAAAGATCCTGAATTGCTGGGAGTCTGCTTCTCCCTCTGACCCTCCTCCCTCTCATGCTCTCTGTCTCTCATTCTCTCTCTCAAATAAATAAATAAAACCTTAAAAAAAAAATTTAAAAAAAAGGGGGGGTCGCCTGGGTGGCTCAGTTGGTTCAGCGACTGCCTTCGGCTCAGGTCATGATCCTGGAGTCCTGGGATCGAGTCCCACGTCGGGCTCCCTGCTCAGTGGGGAGTTTGCTTCTCCCTCTGACCCTCCTCCCTCTCATGCTCTCTGTCTCTCATTCTCTGTCTCAAATAAATAAATAAAATCTTAAAAAAAAACAAAACAAAACTTAAGATCCTGAATTGCTGTCCACGCAGACCTGTGTTCTAGCAAAGCCTCGAGCCAAGCCTAGATGAAATACAGCTTCTTGCCCTCTACCTGCCACTGTCCAAGGTAATCTCCCAGTTCAGGCCCCCAATGTTAGTCTCCCAGGAACGCATGATCCGTCCTCCATTGGACACAGTGATTGCATCTGGAAGAGAAAAGACCATGGTGAAGTCACCTCCCCAACTGGTGCTCTGTGGCCTCCTCTGATGGTCTGGGAGCAATGGCCGCACATCTGAGGTATGGATGCAAACAGAAGTTATTTGAAATACCTGTCCTTTTCTTTTGGGAACACCCCTTCTGCTTTCCCTAGCAGACCCGGTACAAAGGAAGGAACCGAGGAATGGGGAGATGGAGCCAACACCATGATAGAGACCAAGCAGGACTTTGCTTACCTTGTCCGTAGAGCAGCATGGCATCCACAGCCCCTTCTGCCGTGCCCTTGTCAACATGGCGCCACACTGAGAGACACGAGAGTCAGACATTACTATAATCTGGAGAGAGGCACCCAAGAAGACAGGTAGGAGAGAATCAAAGAGGTCTTTGCACTGCGGTATCTAATTTTATTTCGAGGAAGAGAAGGATTACACCTAACTGGCAATGATCCCTTCATACTCACTGGGTAACGAGGGGAGGAATGTTTGAGAGGAGCCACTCCTGTCCCAATCTGAAGTCTCCTCACTTCCTATACCCTCTACCACCCCAAACTTATAAATGAATGACAAAACTAACAGAATCTCTATGATTCACAAGAAAAATAGTGATCGTAAATTATATTTCCATAATTTCGTGCCTAAAAACATCCATAAAAGCAGCATAAGTAATTTAAGGGGGGCATCCAAATCTTTACTGCAGAGTAGAAAAGAGAAATAGAAAAATATTTTGAAATAATATCTTAAGAACTCTTTGGACTCAGGCTGAGGGGCTAAAAAAAAGGCCAGTTATAGGAAAATAGTTGATATTCAAAAACAACACAACTGAAAAACAAGTATCAGAATCCAGTAAGAGATGCATCTTTCGGCAACATGTCCCTTACTTGGGAAGCAGCCAGGAAGACTACAAAAGCCATGGGCCATTCTGGATTCACTATGGTCAGCCATTCCATCCCAAGCTAACCGGCCTATGCAGGTCACTCACATATCTCCCCAGTTCGAGAATTTAATGCTGCAATCACATTCTTCTCTGTGGCCACAACCAACTTCTTGGATCCAGGGGAAAATTCCAAGGAGGCAAACTTGAGCTTCCCAACATACTGCTGTCTCCTAAGGAAGAGGACAGAGAAATGTGAGGGGCCAAAATCATGCCTGCACAAAATGCTGTGGGAAAAGACCTATCTTAGGACATGTGAGGAATGTCCGTTAATGAGATCTGACCAAAAGCAAGATTTCTATGCAACGGAGTCAGAAGCCAAGGGAATAAGAAGAGAGGATACACCCTAAGAGATAAGCAGCACAAGTCTTACTTCTTTTTTTTTTTTTAAGATTTTATTTATTTATTTGAGAGAGAAAGAGAAAGACAGAGAGAGCGAGCAGGGGGAGGGGGAGAGGGAGAGGGACAAGCAGACTCCATGCTGAGTGCAGAGCCCAACGCAGGGCTCAATCCCAGGACCCTGGTATCATGACCTGAGCCAAAGGCAGATGCTTAACCAGTGGAGCCACCCAGGTGCCCCCACAAGCCTTACTTCTAAATGCAAGCACATATTATCTCAAGTGCCACCCAAAAGAACACCTGGCCTAAATCCTACTGGAACAAACATTAGTCCTCTCTGTATTCATTAATAGTGGGACTATTACACGAGGGAAGAGACACAAAGCCTGTTGTCCACAAGCATACAATCCAACTTGCCCTTCTATTTTCACTGACCCCTGAAGAAAAAAATCATGCAAATTTTCCATCGAAACTGGGTTGGGTTTCTGTTTCTACAGAAACAGACTGGGTCAGGCTTCTGTTTTCTACAGCCTTTTCGAGCCCACTCCATGTTCAGGATCCACTTGATTCATTACTCATACTTTCCTTGGAACATATCCCATCACTTTCAACACGCTTCTCTAAGCATAAAGGGAATATAATTAGCTTTGAATGTCACACTACCAAGTACACAGGAGGTGCTTGCACACTGCTGTTAAGGAAAAAGTACTCTCATCTCTGGCAAACTAAACACACGTGGCATCTATATGAAATTTCTCTTGTGATGTTGTTTGGTCTGATTAAAAAAAAGGAAAGAAACTAAGCAGAGAGCAGAGACACAGGCTTAGAGGATGTTTGACAATTTCTATCTGTATTTTCACATACTTAATTCTCGCTATATCCATTTAACGCTCTATGAAATGTATAGGATAAGCGTTATTACTTTATTTTAAAAGGAAAAATTATTACTCTCATTTTACAAATAAGTAAACTAAGGTCTGTTCGGGTCAAGTAATTACAGTCAGAAATAAAACAAAAGACTAAGACCTTCTGATTCTAATTCCCATGCTCTCTTTTAAAATATTGTTATATTTTGGGCGTCTGGGTGGCTCAGATGGTTGAGCGTCTGCCTTCGGCTCAGGTCATGATCCCAGGGTCCTGGGATCGAGTCCCACATCGGGCTCCCTGCTCCTTGGGAGCCTGCTTCTCCCTCTGCCTCTCTCTCTCTCTCTGTCTCTCATGAATAAATAAATAAAATCTTTAAAAAAATAAAAAAAATAAATAAATAAAATATTGTTATATTTTATCTGGACTGTAAAAGTAATGCCTGCTCGGGGCGCTTAGGTGCCTCAATTAAGCGTCCCACTCTTGATTTCGGCTCAGGTCATGATCTCAGGGTCGTGAGATCAAGCCCTGTATCACTGAGCATGGAGTCTGCTTAGGACTCTCTCTCTCTCTTCCTCTCCCTTTGCCTCTTTCCCGCTCATGCTCTTTCTCTAAAAAAGAAAAAAGAAAAAAAGAAGAAGAATTAAAGTAATGTCTGCTCATTGTAGAAAATGTGAAAAATACATAAAAGTATTTTTAAAGATTTAAAATGCCTAAATGCCACCACCATAAACTTTTTAATGTTTCAGGATATTTCCTCCTGTTTACTTTTCTATTTGTGAATTATATATATCTAGTATTCCACTAAGTTGGAATCATACAACATTAACATATACGCTATATATGGGTAATATGCACGTTACATTGTGAGCACTTGCCCACATCATTAAAAATACGACTTATGTTGCATTTATCCCACTGTCATACATACACAACTGCCCCACCAGACTGAGCTCCTTCTTATCTCTCTATCCACAGCACCTAGAACAATTGTTGGCATATTACAGGCAAGCAACAAATACGGGAATCAATGTATCTGATACAGAAAAGACTTCACAGAGGAGGAGGTATCTGAGCTAGGCTCTGAAAAATAAACTGTTCTCTGAATAGAAATAACAATGCATAACGCTAACTGTACTCAATGAGCCAGGCATTGTGCTAACTTAAAAGAATGATCTCATTCATCCTTACAACTACTGTAGGTAATAATGAACTATGAATAAGCCCATTTTACAGATAAAGAAACCTTGGCACAGAGCAGATAAGTCACTTTCTCAAGTCACACAACCCTTAAGTGCCAAAATTTAGTCTCCAACAAAAGTACACCTTAATTGCTGGGCCTTAAGGAAGGGGGCGGGAGGGAGGGAAAACTGAGTAAGTGAATGAGTAAATGGCATCTCTATGAATGGCACCTCCAGCTGATGTGAGACTTGCTGGCCCTGTTCTGAGCCCAGGACCAGGTTGGGCTGAAAGAGAGGAGAAAGGGCACTCGGTTTAGGATTCGTAGTAAGACCCAAGCCCCTGTTCACATACCCAAGAGATGCCAATTCGAGGAAGAATGAGAGTTCACTGAGGGGCTGTCGACCCCCGACACCCAGTAGATCAGAAACCTGACAGTCATAGAAACAGGGCCTGACGGGGAGGAAGGAACGGTGACCTCTGACCAGAACCCCAAGCATGCTTGAACGTCAGGGCCCGTTTCACGAACCTGCAACCTGTCACACAGAGACTGGCTTAAAAGCGCCCCTGACGCTCCGTTTAATGCTCTGTTGTGGCCATCTTAAACCTCTTTAACTTTTGAACGGGGGGGGGGTCCCACATTTTCATTTTGCACTGGGCCCCACAAGTTCTGCAGCCAGTCCTGCTGCCTGTAACCCCGTCCTCCTTGTAGCAGGCACAAGGCTGGTACTGACAAAATAGCCATACACTTCCCGAACAGGCCCCACACGCACGTACCAATCAAACTTGCCCACTTGGTCTTCGTAGACCGCGGCCGCAAGGACAAGCAGGGCAGCCCAGAGCCAGAGCCGGAGAACCGCGACCACCGCCGCCATGATAGGAGCCTGGGTAGGCCCGCCGCCGGCCCGTCAGGCACCCGACCGCAGGCTCCGCCTCCGCAGACCATAGAGTTGGGACCTCCTGCGAAGCCCTCGCCGAGGCACTCAGGGCTCGGAGGCCCCCGGGCGCGCGGGAAGTCGCCCTGGAGACAGCCGGGCGGGGACAGGCGGGCTGCGGCGCGGATTGGGTCAGGCACGCGTGGGGGCAGCCCCCGAGGGCCGTCCCATAGGCCCCCGCGCCGCCGGGGTCCTAGCAGGCAGCACCGCCTTCCGCCGCATGTGGCTGCAGCGCGATGCCCAAATCCAAGCGCGACAAGAAAGGTGAGCGAGGGGCCTTCGAGACCCGATGGGCAGCTCCGCCGGCAGGGTGCCGGCTGCGGTGGGGGCTTGAGGGGCACCGAGTGGGACGTCGGGGCGTGCGCGAGGAACTCCGCCGGCTCTCTTGAAACTGCGATAGGGCTTCGTGGCCGCTGGCTCACCGGAGGGGGTTGGAGCCTGGTCGGGTCAGGGGAGCGGAGACTGCCGGTCCTTGGGTGCCCTTCCAAGGCTTACTAGGCCGGAAAACAGCTTTTGAGCACCTGGGCTGCGCCCGATCTCGCCTTGACCCACTTTTCCCACTTCAGCCCTTCTCCCTTAGCTCTCTGCGCTCCCACCACCCTGGCCGTCTTTCCTTTAGGAAGGTTTAGTCCCGGCTCTGGCCCTTTTGCTTGTAGTTGCTTCTGCGTGGCATGCTTATGCTTAGATCTTCATGTGGTTTGGTCTGTTTCAGTTGTCAGTTCATAAAGCACCTCCTGAGAGACCATTCCTGACTACTATGTGGTAGTCTCTTTCACCCAGGCTGAAACAGGTACTTAGGGGCCTGGCAGTGTAGGCGTTGGGCGGATACAGCAGTTACAGTAAGGAAAGCCTAGAGTCCTCACTGAGCTTAAAGTTTTAGTCATAGGAAATATATCCTCCCCAAAACACCAAAAGTCGAATCAAGTCAGGTCGTGATGAGTCTCACGGACTAAAAGTGAGATAAAGAAGTGATGTTATTTCGGGGCGCCTGGGTGGCTCAGTTGGTTAAGCGACTGCCTTCGGCTCAGGTCATGATCCTGGAGTCCCTGGATCGAGTCCCGCATCGGGCTCCCTGCTCGGCAGGGAGCCTGCTTCTCCCTCTGACCCTCCCCCCTCTCATGTGCTCTCTCTCTCTCTCATTCTGTCTCAAATAAGTAAAATCTTTAAAAAAAAAAAAAAATTTAAAAAAAAAAGTGATGTTATTTCGTTTAGTGCAACCAGAAAAGGTCTCTGATGAGCTGACAAATAGGCAGAAACCTAAAGAAAGGAAGTGAGCCATCCACGGAGTTACCCCAGAGCATAGTGTTCCAAGGAGAGGGAAGATAAAGTGTAAAGGGACTGTATTGAGAGCACGTTTGATGTGTTCTGGGGCAAGAGGCCAGTGTGGCTGGAGCAGAGTACACAAAGAAGAGGGAGTAGGTTGGGCATTATAAACCTTCCCAAGGAATTGGCTTTCACACCCAGGTGCTACCCACTGGGTAGCTTGAGCAGAGATGGATATTGTTTACTTTTTTTTTTTTTTAAGGATTTTATTTATTTGAGAGACAGACGGAACACGAGCGGGGGGAGGAGCAGAGGGAGAGGGACAAGCAGACTCTGCTGAGCAGGGAGCCCAACACAGGGCTCAATCCCAGGACCCTGAGATCATGACCTGAGCCAAAGTCAGACACTTAACTGACTGAGCCCCCCAGGGACCCTGACATGGTTTAAATTTTAAAAGATCACCCTAGGGGCACCTTGATGGCTCAGTCGGTTGAGCGTCAGACTCTTGGTTTTGGTTCAGGTCATGATCTCAGGGTGGTGGGATCGAGCCCCACTTCAGGTTCTGTGCTGGGGGTGGAGCCTGCTTAAGATTCTCTTCCAGGGGCGCCTGGGTGGCTCAGTTGTTAAGCATCTGCCTTCTGCTCAGGTCATGGTCCCAGGGTCCTGGGATTGAGCCCCGCATCGGGCTCCTTACTTGGCGGGGAGCCTGCTTCTCCCTTTCCCACTCCCCCTGCTTGTGTTCCCTCTCTCTGTCAAATAGATAAATAAAATCTTTAAAAAAAAAAAAGATTCTCTCTCCCTTTCCATCTGCTCCTCCCCCCACCTCTCCCTCTCTAAAAAAGCTTTAAAAAAATCACCCTAGTTGCCTTATTGATAATAGACTGGGGAAAGTGGGGAGAGAAGGCAAAGTTGGAAGGAGGGAGACCAACAGTAATCCAAGAGAGGGTAGCGCTGGTTTGGTCCACGGTTGTAGCAGTGGAAGTGGTGAGAAATGGACAAGGGCATTGTGTTTACTCTCCTGTGCTGCCCTTACCCTGACCAGTGAGATTATTGTTCCACGTATATGCCAGGCAGGATGAATAAAAATTGCCCCATTACGGGGGGTACCCTTAGCTTTGCATTTGATGCTCTGTTAAGTGTTTGTGGAATGATTGGGTTCTGTAGAGGGAGCCCTGGTGAGATCTGGCAAATGCCATACCCTTCTGGATAAGAGGAAATTGAGCCCCAGCTCTTGGGCAGAGGTGCTTGCCCTCCCCAGAGAGGCAGTGCTTTATCCATGAGTCCAAACTGCAGAACAAGATGGAGCAGAGGAGACAGAGTCCCCAGATTCATTGTTCCCCAGCAGATGCCACCAAAGATTTTCTCTGTGCACCATGGCAGAGAGCAGAAAGGGACCCGCCTGAGCCAGCCACTGAAAGCACTCCAGTAACAGGAGCAAGCCCTGCCCCCACACTGCAGTACAGATTCTTAGTTTAGCTGAACTAAGAGGGATGCAGGAACATCTGGTTTGTCTAAGTAATAGGAGATATGTCAGGGGATGTCCAGGCTCAGGAACACTAGAGTAGGTACTCTTAGGACCCTGGGAACACATAGCCTTGCCTTTCCTCACCCTGGCTTTTGGTCCAGCTGAGCTGCCAAAGGGAAGATGGAAATGAGTCTGCAGGGCCTCTGGATTCGTCTCTTATCACCTCTCTCTCTCTTCTTTTATTAGTTTCCTTAACCAAAACTGCCAAGAAAGGCTTAGAACTGAAACAGAACCTGATAGAAGAGGTAAGAGCTCATTCTTTTTATTGTTCCAGACCTTGTATTTGGTTTATAAAGGTGGCTAGAGGGCTGGCAGGGAAACATTGTTTTGTTTTTTTTTTTTAAAAAAGGGGGTGGGGAGAGAAAAACACCACCATGAGGTGCTGGTTCTGTCCTTTTTCCTCCAGCAGCAGCACCAATAAAAACTCCCATAGTAATGATTTCCAGCTTTGACCGAGCTCTTACTCTGCACTTTGCACCGCACTAAGTACTCCGCGTGCTGTTCCACTCCATCTTCACAGCGTACCTGGGAGGAGTTAGCGCTGTTTTGCAGCTAGCTAACGGAAACTTAGAGAGATTTGGTAGCCTGCCCAATGTCAGCTGTGGAGTTACACTGGGCGCCCAGCTGGCTCATTTGGTAGAGCATGCGACTCTTGGTCTCAGGGTCATGAGTTCAAGTCCCACATAAAGTAACTTTAAAAAAAAATCTATGGGGGGGCGCCTGGGTGGCTCAGTCGGTTGAGCGACTGCCTTCGGCTCAGGTCATGATCCTGGAGTCTCCGGATCGAGTCCCGCATCGGGCTCCCTGCTCGGCAGGGAGTCTGCTTCTCCCTCTGACCCTCCCCCCTCTCATATGCTCTCTCTCTCTCATAAATAAATAAAATCTTTAAAAAAAAAAAAAATCTATGGGGTTATCAGATGTGAGTAAATGCGCCAGCCTACTGTCTACACTGCTGCAGGCCACAGGCTGGGTGAGAGGAGAGTCTCCTCCAGCACAATTATTCCTTTTCCTTAAGAAAGCGATCAGCAATGTGGGCACAGCAGGGCTGATGAGCCACCTCCCGTTGTGAGTAAAGAGTGAGGCTTTATATATTTCCATTTAGCAGGAGCTTCCAAGCGTAGCTAAGTGTTTCTGGGTTGTCAGTTAATGAGCAGAGCAAAGCAATCCATTCCACGCCGGGCACAGATAAGTCAGAAAGCTGGGAGACCATGGGATCTCAGCTTACCTGCACTTTGAGAGCACACCTACTTTGCCTCAGGGGAGCCCCTGTAGTCCGTGATCTTGGCTTCAGTAACGGAAGTAAGGAGGAAACAACTAGACGCCTCCAGCTCTAAACTTCCATGGTTGTTAGGGACCTAGACCAGATTCTTCCCCATCTGAGGCCCAACCCATGCTGCCCCTTGAACTCCAGAACCCCACTGAATTGTCCCATAGCTTCGAAAATGTGTGGATACGTACAAGTACCTTTTCATCTTCTCCGTGGCCAACATGAGGAACAGCAAGCTGAAGGACATCCGGAACGCCTGGAAGCACAGCCGGTAAGAAGGCCTTTCTGTGTAGAGAAGAAGCAAGGATGCTCTCAAAGCACAGGGGCAGTTATTGACCCTTGGGTATCTGGGTCACACAGATACCACCTTACTGAGGACAAAGCTTCACATTCTCCAGAGGCACTTTTTAACTTAAAACTGGTCTTGCATTGAGCTCCTTGGGCAGGACTGGGTAGTTGGTCAGGGAATGTTTGAGCAGTGATCCCTCAGGAGAAGGGGCTCCCTTAACTCCTGGGATCTGGTCCTTTTAGGAACATCCCATCAGTTTTAGAATGTCGGTGTATACTCCAAGATGCACACGGTGACCCGAGAGCAGGCTGCGTGAGCCATATGGCGGGTACCCGTCCTTGGGCTGGATCTGTGATGGTACGAGTGATGACTCTGGTCTGCCTCAGACCAGTGAATGTGCCTCTTCCATACATCCAGATTGGGGGTCTAGGGGATCACATAACACCCACAGTGGGCCAGTAGACAAAATACTGTGGATGTTTGAGGTCTGTAGGCAGGAAAAAATGAAGGGGGTCCTTGGCTGTGGACAGAGAGCCGGCGGGGCTGCACAGAAGAAGTAGGAGCCTCTGGCCAAGCCTCCTGCGGCCCAGCAGCCTGGGCCTGAGTTTGGGCTCCTGGGGACTAGAGCAGGTTTACACCTTAACTGGGGGACGGTGGAGGGGGCCCTTCCTTCACGGACCCCTTTTTCTCTCTAGGATGTTCTTTGGCAAAAACAAGGTGATGATGGTGGCCTTGGGTCGAAGCCCAGCTGACGAGTACAAAGACAACCTGCATCAAGTGAGTTTCTGGCCTTCTGGCCTGTGGAAGGATCGGGCAGATCAAGGCCTGGCTTAAAGCTCGGTTCTCCTTTAACCTGCAGACCCAGAGTAGTGCCCCCCCTAGCTGTGTCAACCAAAAACATCTGCAGATATTGCCAGATGTCTAATGGGACTGGGCCGACCCCACTTTTGTTCTGTAGGTCAGCAAGAAGTTGAGGGGTGAGGTCGGTCTCCTTTTCACCAACCGCACCAAGGAGGAAGTGAATGAGTAAGTGTTTTTGAGGACTAACAGGGAAGGAATAATCTGGGTACTTCGTACAGTACGGAGATAGCAAGTAAAAACTGGTTCCTGGAACACTGCTCCTGAGTCCTCGTTCTCTGCAGCACCAAGCGGTCTGCAGCAAATGTGGGCAGGGAGGGGAGGCCAGGGGAGCCTGACTTCATGCCCGGCTGGTGGGCCATTCAGGAACCCCACCACCACCACTTGTCTTTTCCTGAGGTGGTTTACGAAATACACGGAAATGGACTTCGCTCGAGCCGGAAACAAAGCGACTTTCACTGTGACCCTGGACCCTGGGCCCCTGGAGCAGTTCCCCCACTCCATGGAGCCACAGCTGAGGCAGCTGGGCCTTCCCACTGCCCTCAAGAGAGGTATGGGGAAACCCCTGGAGCTGAAAGGTCACAGCTTAGCTGCCGGGAACACAAGCTCCCAAACCTGATAGACCCCCTCTGGCCTCTGTGGCTGAGCAGCTCATTTCTGCCAGTCTCCATTTCCTCAGGTGAAAATGGGACTGAGTGACCACCTCTTGGTCGGGGCAAGAGTGGATAGTAATTCACAGCCAGAACACAGCAGTTAAGGGACGTGAGGGGGCCGTCATCCCCCCACAGTCCCTCCTGGGCAGCTGAGCACTTGCAGGTTTAGCCTGAGTGTGCTGGGGAGGGTGGGAAGGACAGGGGACCAACCAGCGCCCTCTCAGCTCTGGGCAGTGGGCAGAGAGCTGTGCATGGGCCTCTGTGCCGAAGTCACCGTGTAGGGTTCCTTTCTCTGTAGGTGTGGTGACCCTGCTGTCCGACCACGAGGTGTGCAAGGAGGGCGACGTGCTGACCCCAGAGCAGGCCCGTGTGCTGGTGAGTCTGTCTGTCCCCCCACCCCACCCCACCCTGGCCACGGTCAGCGGGCTGTAGCACCAGGGCCCCTGGCCGCTTCATGTTACCCTTGCTCCTCCCTTTTTTTTTTTTTAGATTTTATTTGTCAGAGCAAGCAAGCATAAGCAGGGGGAGTGGCAGGCAGAGGGAGAAGCAGGCTCCCCACTGAGCAAGGAGCCCGATGTGGGACTCAGTCCCAGGACCCTGGGATCATGACCTGAGCCAAAGGCAGCTGCCTAACCAACTGAGCCACCCAGGCATCCCAACCCTTGCTCCTCCTAACCATTGGTTCCCTTTATGCGTCCCTTGCAGAAGCTTTTCGGGTATGAGATGGCTGAATTCAAGGTCACCATCAAATACATGTGGGATGCACATTCTGGAAGGTTCCAGCAGATGGGAGATGACTTGCCCGAGAGTGCATCCGAGTCGGCAGAAGAATCAGAGGGGGAAGATGACTGCTGACAGATACTGGGGACGGACTGTGGGAACCACCCCACTCGCTGAACAGCAGGGAGGGCGAGAGGGATGGACTGCTTTTCTATAAGGAATAAAACTGTCTGCAAGGTGGTTCCTGTGGACAGCAAAGAGGACTTTTCCTAGAAAAAAGGCCTTGGCTTTGGACTTTTATTTGGATTCTCTGGGTTCCTTTGTTTACCTGGAGCCAGCTTCCAGCACTGGCTCCCGCATTACGTCTGGGGACGTGAGAGCCACCCCCAGAGCCGGGGCTTCTCTCCTCTGGCCCTTTTGCGCCTCCTGGACATGGGGGTTTGCCAAGGAATAAAGGAACCCTGGCCACCCTTCCTGCCCCTTTCTTTCTCTCCCTCCTCCCCCCCAGTCCTATCCCCTGCCCGAGCCAGGGCCGGGGGTCTTACAGGATGCTTTTGCTAAGATGAGTAAAGCCACTGCTGAAACCCAGAGCAGATATGAAAACTGTTACACAGCATCCTGGGGACTTTTATTCTTGGGAGTGACTCTAATGGTAGGTAAACCTTCAGGGCATATGGCCCTTTCTCTTGTGCGTAGCAGAGAGAGGGCCACCTCCAGCTGCCCTGTCCGGAGGTCGGGCTGGATTCTGGACGGGAGGCTGGGAAGCCTGCGCTCCTGCCCCCTCCCCGCAAGCCCTTGGGAAGGACAGGCAGCAGAGCGGCTGGGCAGCCGGGTCTAGCGCCCGCTCTGTCCAAGCAGGACACGCCCGAGTGGGTCACAGCACAGCCTTCTCTTGTGAAGGCAGCTGGGAGCATTGCGGGAATGGAGGAAATAAACAGCTCGTGAGCAGACACTGTGGAGAAAGAACAGGCCAAATAAAGCCATTTAAGGCCCACGGTGAGATTGTCAAAAGAAGTGACAGATGGAGGCCCTCTGCCACCTCAAGCCAGGACTGGCCCTAGCAGTAGTTGGGACATTCGTGGGCGACAATCGAAGGTGCCAGGCTTGATCGAAGGCCTGCACCACGGCCGGCTCCAGGGGCCCTTCCTTGGTCGCCGCCAAGTTCTGTGTCAGCTGCTCCACGCTGGACATGCCCAGGATGACGGCGTCCCTGTGGGCACCCTGCAAGGGGAGACCGCCAGATGTGAACACATTATGCACCATGGTGGCTCCAGGTGCACACCCTCCCTCCCCGCCCTGCCTCTGCCGAGACCCGGGCTCTGATGTCTACTTAGAGCCTACGTTCTTCCAGAATTTACACAGCCTGCAAACAGCTTGAAAGGCTGGCCTCTACAGACTCCCCAGCAGGCAGACGTGAGTTCAGAGCCGCTCCCCTGTGCCCCTCCGCAGTGGGGTACACCCGGGGTAGTCACTTGACATCCCCAAACTTCAAACTTCCTTTATTTTGCAGGAATTAAAATTTTGTCAAGTATTTGTGTCAGGCCTGGCCCTGAAGAGCTCAGGAAAGGGGAGCCCTCAGTAGATCATGCTGAAGCCAGAGGAAGGTGTGAGGGTAGCCGGGGACAGCAGAGGGGGTGACCCCACCAGGCACAGGGCCCGCCTCTGCAAGCGTGCGGCATGGGGCGGAACAAAGGCTAACGGTTAGGGATGTAAGTTTCAGAGTCCACTGGATGCTCGTGCCCAGTCATGTGTAGCTGTGGGGCCTTAAGCGCCTCTGAAATCACTTCATCTGTGAAGTTGGAATAATCACACTTAATAGGGCCCGTGGAGTTCCTAACGGGGCACTTAATGAAACTTCCCAAAGAGAATTCGCATGGAGAAACACCAGAAGAAAAGGAATCATCTCACAAACTATCAAGTAATTGTGTAGCCCTCTCCCTTCTTCCACGTCCTCCCTCACCCCACCACGGAAAAAAGCAGCCCCCCTGGGACGGCCGGCTCACCTGCAGCTGGGAGTGGTGGTACATCCACTGGAGGGCAGCCGAGGTCATGCGGGGGGCGCTGCCGCCACACAATGGCCTGCAGGGCCTTCTCCACCAGGGCAATGGCCTCGAAGTGCTCCTTCCAGAAGCTGGGCAGGTGGGGAGGGGGGCACAGCGGTCAGTGCCATGAGGTCACTCCAGGGCAGATGTCCCACCCCGGTCCCTGAGACCCTGAGGGGCTGGCATCCTCTGAGAATGCAGGTGGATTTCGGGCCCCACACCTGGGCATTTTTCAGTCCGGTGGGGGGGGGCGAGGGGATGCAGTGGGTAGGAATGTTTGCATTTATCGCTCACTAGATGTGAACAACCCAAGCCCCACCTCGGGACCCAGGAGCAGCCACAACACGGTGCTAGCGTGCCTCCTGTTACTGGACCCGTGACAAATCCTGGCTAAAGCCACCTGCCTCCACTTCTCTTACCTGCTCCATGAGGAGAGCGAACGCTCCAGGCCAGCCCCTTACAGCCAGTGCCAAATGTAAAGGAGATAATGGACCTGATGGTGCATGCTTTGTAAACTATGAAGAACGGTCAAGGTCAAAACCATCAGGCCTCAATTCTCCAGGGTGAAGCCCAGGCCCTGGCAGTGAGAAATCTTGAGAACACTGTTTGGGGCATTGGTTCCTAAACCTGGACACCAGGCCAGGAAGATCAGAAACTGGGGTGGGCAAGGGTGGGCGGGGGCTGGATTAAGACTGAAATCACAGCAGTGCGCACGAGGTAATCCCAAATACTAGACGCTCCATAGACACTCCCCTGCTTTAAAAGTCCTTGGCCATTTCAACAAGACTAACAATGGAGACTTGCACAAAACTTCCTTCTTGCCCTCCTCCCAGGGTGGGGGGAAAAAGGCAAATAAATTACACACAGAAATTAACCGTGGACTTGGCTTCTATAAACATAGATTAGGAGCTTGCCAGTAGTCCACGGAGGACATCTAAATTTGATAAAGGAGGGGCGCCTGGCTGGCTCAGCTGGAAGAGCATGCGACTGGATCTCGGGGTTGTGAGTTCGAGCTCCACGTTGGGTGGGATTACTTAAATAAAACTTTTTAAAAAATAAAGTTGATAAATGAAGGAATAGCAATAAAGTGCACTTTGGGGGAGGTCGCAGGAGAGGCCAGAGGGAAAGAGCCATGAGTTTAAATCGTCACCTCTGAAGAGTACAACCTGGCAACGGGTTGCTTTGAGCCACGGGCCTGTATTTCTTTGATAGCATTTCCAAATTTTAGAAAGTGGAAAAGTAAGGGAAGAAGGCTGATTCCAACAGCTGTGTAACTATAACTGTAGACATTGAGAAAATATTACTGCCAAGAGTTTACAAAGCTTAGATTACTTTGCCTGAGGGGAAGGGCCAGGTTTCCCGAGTCCTGATCCAAGGGTACCCCCTCCCCCGCCCCCACTGTGCACAGAGGGTGAGCTCTTCCCAGCAAAGAGTTGTGGAGCTTTGAGAAGGCACAGGGATCCACATTCCCAATCCAGGCCCCTAAGCCCTCTCCAGAGACACAAAATATCTGGGGTGTGGATGTTGGTAAAGCCCTGGAGATTCCAGGGACCTAAGTCTGAGACCAGGAGGAGGTGCTGGCCCCCAGAAAGCAGCCCCAGAGACCCCCTATTTCAGACTAGGAGGACCTATACCACCTCTTGCCCTGACACAGCCCATCCCCCGCTCACCGATTCCTGTAGATCTCAGCCCATTTATTCCCGAAGAAGCGGCACACAGGCTATTTCCCATCCTTGTCCTCATACTTATACTTGCCCGTCAGCAGGCCCCCTGCGGGGAGACTGACATCAGAGCCCCAGGCCCACCCTGCTCCCAGAGGCTGTTATGGACTGGCGAGAGGGGGGGGCGCGGGGGGAAGGGTGGGGGACCCAGGAGGGATGGAAGACATGGCCCAGTCTATTTTCAAACCCCTTTCCGATTTCCAGGGCCTGGGCCGGGCATCTACTGTGTCAGGAAGAGGCAGAGACAGGGCAAGGAACGGCCTCCCACCCCAGGGGGAGCCTGCCCCCAGAGCAG